AACCTTCCTTCCGAGGAGTGGCTGGTGGGTTTGAACCGCCAGCCTTCTGGTTAGCAGTCAAGTGCTTTAGCCACTATGCTACCAGAGCTCCTGGAATTAATAGCTATTAATATTTCACTTTATTTGCTTCCAGACCCTTTTTTAAAAAAGAGAACAACATTGTTCCTTGAACTCTATACTGCTTTTTATAACCATAAGTTCCATTTCCCTATCTTCCTCCCCAGGAACAATCAGTATCATCAGTGGTTTTTTTAGTTTGTATATGCGTGCATACAAATATATAAATACTACTGTTTCTTGTAGTTTTTAAAGTGTGTATTAATGATCATATATATCCTGTCTTCCTTGTTTTGCTCAGCATTGGTTTTGAGATCTAATCAAGTTGATTTCTTTAAGATCTGTTTCATTCCCTTTAATTCTTGTTTGTTTTTTTCAGAACGTAAAACTAGTACATTTTATTTATCCATTCCCCAGTGATTGATATTTAGATTGTTTTAAATAAGTATTCATTGTGAAAGTTAGCTGTTTTAGAGGTTAGAGTTGTAATCTGAGATCTATAAAATTTTCTCGGAATGTAGAAGAAAAGGGAAAAAGGATGAGAAAATACAAGAACTGTGTTTAATTAGTATTTTTTAAAAAGAAACTCTTAGCAGGAAATCAGCAACTCTAATCAATTCCACAGAAATATTCTCAGGATCAGTCATATATTGTAATGTTCTGTAGAAAATGTCAGAACGGTAGGATCAGGGCAGTGAGCTGCTTGCTGCTCTGCTTGTGACTCCAACAAAGAAAATAACATTGTCTAAGCTAGGAATCAAGGTTTGGTCCAACACCTAGAACTGGAAAATGTATATCTTTTTGATTTACGTATTTGGTACTAATGTAAAGGGAACACTGCATGGTTTGAAATCAAGAAGGGGGTGCATCAGGGTTGTATCCTTTCCCCATACTTATTCAATCTGTATGCTGAGCAAATGGCCCAAGAAACTAGACTATATGAAGAAGAACATGGCATCAGAATTGGAGGAAGAATCATTAACAACCTGCGATACGCTGATGACACAACTTTGCTTGCTGAAAGTTAGAATGACTTGAAGTACTTACTGATGAAGATTGAGGAATACAGTCTGCAGAATAAATTACATCTCAATATAAAGAAAACAAAAATCTTCACAACTGCACCTATAAGCAGCCTTATGATTAATGGAGAAAAGATTGAAATTGTGAAAGACTTCACATTGCTTGGTTCTACAATCGACGCCTATGGAAGCAGCAGTCAGGACATCAGACGACATATAGGACTGGGCAAATCTGCTGCAAAGGACCTCTTTCAAGTGCTAAAGAGCAAAGATGGCTCCTTGAAGACTAAGGTGCGCCTGACACAAGCCATGGTATTTTCAATCGCCTCATATGCATGTGAGAAGTGGACAGTGAATAAGACAGACAGAAGAAGAATTGATGCTTTTGAGCTGCGATGTTGGCAGAGAATGCTGAAAGTACCGTAGACTGCTAAAATAACTAACAGGCCTGTCCTGGAGGAAGTGCAGCCACAATGGTCCTTGGAGGCAAGAATGGCCAGACTTGGTCTCACCTACTTTGGTCATGTTGTCAGAAGGGACCATTCCCTGGAGAAGGATGTCATGCTTGATAAGGTGGAAGATTGACAAAAGAGAAGGCCCTCAACGAGATGGATTGACACGGTGCCAGCAGCAATGGTCTCAGGTATAGCAAGAATCATGAAGCTGGCTCAGGAGCAGGCGGTTTTCATTCTGCTGTGCATAGGGTCGCTATGAGTCAGAGATGACTTGACGGCACCTAACAACAACATATAAATATGAAATGTAGATATTATTGATAAATTAAAAGTAATTAATGTAAACTTGCACTACAAAAGCATTGCTTGTGGGAAAATAGGCCACATTTTGTCCTGAACCAAAATAAAAAATATATAAAAGGCTAGAATAAATGAAGCAGAAGCAATAATAAAAAAGAACTTCTAAGTAGAAGAAAATATAAAGTCTGCATTAAAAGGTTTTACCAAATTCCATAGTAATGAAAATCACTAGTAGACAAATATTGGTCAAAGAATTTTAGATCAATCTTAAAATACAAGCGTGAGTATCAAGACAAAAAAAAAAAAAAAACTATAAAACAATAGAAATTAGGCTTGTACTAGACTTAACATCTACAAATGTCTAGAAATATACCATCCATATAACCTTCCTGAAAAGTTTCTCATATGTCCTCTTACTGACCAAAAGGTAAGTCAGAATATGCAATTTAGGATTGGGAAAGTCATAGTATTTAAGAAATGGCAGTGGCATGGAAACCATGTAAACATGGAGTTAATTTTAATAAGGTGAGTCTATAGTTAGGGTTTGTGAGGCCCCTAAGTAGCAGGTAAAATTTTATATAAATAGCATCTTTCAGATTGCCAAAAGGTTCATAGCCCTAAGAAGTTTAAATATGACTGTATGGTTAGTGGAATTCCTACGTAGTGCAGACTGTACATGCTCTTGGCCACTAACTGAAAGGTTGGAGATTTGAGTCTTCCTGGAAGTGCCTCAGAAGAAAGGCCTGAAAAACTCTTTCTGAAAAATCCGCATTGAAAATTGTGATACATATGGGGCTGCCATGAGTTGGAATCTGCTCAAGTTGAGTAAATAATATGGAGACCATGATGCTAAATAAAATTTTAGCATCTGTAATCCAGAGAAAGGAGCTCTGGTAGCATAGTGCCTAAGGCACTTGACTGCTCACCAGAAAGCTGGCGGTTCAAACCCACCAGCCACTCCTCGGAAGGAAGGTTGGGCAATCCTACTTCCCTAGTGATACTGCCTCGGAAACCCAAGGAGGGGTCACTATGAGTCGGGGCCGACTCAACGGCAAACAACAACAACAACAACAATCCAGAGAAAAGAGCTCTGGTGACACAGTGGTGAAAGCATTGGGCTGCTAACCAAAAGGTAGGTGACTCAAACCCACGAGCCACTCCATGGGAGAAAGATGAGGCATTCTGCTTCTGTAAAGATCTACAGCTTTAGAAACCCTAAAGGACAGTTCTCCTCTATCTTGTAGTGTCACTGTCAGATCAACTCGATGGCAGTAGGTTTGGTTTTCAATCCAGAGAAGATGAGATAACTTAGTATGACTACAATAGTAAGGAGGAATGATTTAGAATTAAGAAATCAAATAATTACACAAGTAGACCACAGAAAAAAAGCTTATCTTGGCAGATGCTGAAACACCTTTGAAAAATTCAATACCAACATTTAGAAGAATTCTTTTTTTTAATGTGGTAGAGAATATATATCTGAAACCAGCATCTTTGATATTGGTGAAACTCTAGAGGTGCTTCCTTTAAAATAATGATAAAGACAGGAATGCTTACTATCATAATTGTTATTCAGTATTTTTCTAAAAATAGGCCAGTACAATAGGATATCGGAGAAAGTATGATTGTTGAAATGTAGAAAGTAATTTGTATGTAATCTTACCTACCTAGAAAATCTAAGATTGAGGTGCAAAATTATTAAGCTAAAAAGAGGGCTTAGTAAAACGA